GTTGGAAATATTCAGCTTCAAATTTAGTAACACTTAGGCGACTAACTTTAAAAGGAAGATATTGTCTAGTCTTCAACAGAGAAATCGGGAAGAAATACTGCGTAAAGACACCATAAACCTTATTAAAATTCTATGTGCGCAACATTCAGCAAAAAGTCTTTGAACGATGAACAACACAGTTCCTGGACCATTCAATGTTAGATCGTGAAACCAAATACCTAAAAATCATTGCAATTTGTTGATGATATCATCTCAAAAAAATTCACGACCGAACCATTTATTTACTTACATACTTACTTACGCCTGTTACTCCCGATAGAGCACAAGCCGCCGACAAGCATTTTCCAACACACTGTCCTGGGCCTTCCTTTTTAGTCCGATCCAATTCTTGTTCACTCTTATCATGTCTGTCTCCGTTTCTAGGCGTAATGTGTTCTTTGGTCTTTCTCTCCTCCTTTGGCATTAAGGCTTTCGGGTGAGGGCTTGTCTTGTGACACAGTTGAGTGCTTTCCTTAATGCGTGTCCTATCCATTTCCAGCTCATCTTCCTGATTTCTTCCTCCGCTGGGATCTGGTTTGTTCTCTCCCAAAGTAGGTTGTTGCTGATAATGTCTGGTCAACGGATTCGAAGTATTTTGCTTAGAAAACTGTTGGTAAACACTTGCATCAAACCATATAGCTGAGAAATTTTATAAAAAATGAACTTTGTAATTCATTATTATGTCAGTTGCTTAAAACCTTGGACTATGAATAAATAAATGTTCAATGTTTCGCCAAATGGTATTCGAAACACTCTTGGAAATATCATTCATTAAAATTTAACTACTTACAAGTAGTTAACAGCGAATGATCAAAAACTAATTATGAGGGTGTAATGCTGAGGAAACTAAATTATTTCGTCACATAAAAGAACACTTCCTCACACTTTTTTAAGAAATCAAACAGTGAATAAATGTGGACACGTAATACAAACTGGAACTTATCCCTTTTATTTGACGTTTTAAATGAAATTTTATATCCGATACTATACACAATATGAGAGTACAGAATGCAGTCATCACGCGTCATGAATTTAAGATTTCCAGGCATGTTCTAAAGCTAAAACATGATTTTAAATGTTCGAAAATAGCTCATTCATTGCGTATGCCTACTCACAAACATGAGGCTACTACACGTTTTCTTACATCATTTTAAAGCAATGTACTTTCACAAAAATTGAAAAAGCATTGGTACAACAAAATTAGTGAAACGAATACTTTTTGTAGTTCCTTTAGAATCCCAATATATTTAAAGTGATTTGTAATAAAAACCTGTCTAGAATAATCGCAGTTATGGGTAATAATTAATTTGATTATATAATATGAAACATCGACCATTATATTAGGTCAAGCGGTTCAGTTGTATGTGAAGGATTACGACTATTATGCTGTCACCAAATAATTTACGTTCGGTGTGGTAAGCCTACAGTTTATTATCCTTTGTAAAACTGGTTTAAATCTACTGGTCATGACTGGATAATATTTATCAGGATTGACTTAATGACAATCATTCTTGATTATTTAGTAAAAGTTAAAGAATGCTGAGGTCAGTCATCTGGAGGTATTCATACAAGGCAAATGATAGTTCAACGACTGCAATCCTCTTTCAGAAGTAGATGCGATGTAATAAACACCTGACCAACCTATCTGAGTGTCAAAAATCTAATGCGGAAATTTCATTCTTTTTTCAGTGACAGTGGGTCGAGGGGCCAGTATATTAAGTAAGAAAACGTCCGAGTTTACTCTATTGGCTTTTTGAACTAAAAGCTGATTAAAATCTACAGAAAGAATAAGATGACAGGTTCTGTTAAAGAAGCAAGGCGGATAATGATATCATTGATTCTATAAGGATGATATAGATCCCTTTAATCGTCTTGGTGCAGCTGTTTAGAATGGATCATATTTGCGAGCAAAAAGTAACACTTGTGTAATTTAATACTTTGACTAAGACACATTCTTTTTTCTGCTATCAACGATTACTATTATGTGGTCATTTTGGAAGTTCGAAAAACCTTGAATGGTGAGTTTAAACTTAGTACTTCGTTCATATATCAGCTTTTTAGTATGATGAGGATTTTTTAACAATGAAAATGTTGTGAACAACCCATTGCGTTGAAATTGCTCAATGAGTTCCTGAAGTATACTGTAAAGTTAACTGAAACGAAAATTTCCGTGGGATTTATCAACAGCTGCATCGAATCAGGTTGTTATCCATTACGACGGAACGGAATTCACCCTAATAGAAAGACACTGCAACGCCACATCCTGAGCCAGATTGATGCCTTGCATTCTGATAGTAAAGAGATACAGATGAAAGCTTTTTTTAGAAAACACTGTAAACGACCTAACGAATGATTTGAGAATACCCTCTATGGACTATGTTACGAACGTTACAGAACAGAGAGCAGTAAAGGAACTTATCCAGCTACTGAAAGTTCTAAGAAATCAAAGAGTTGAAGGCAAATTTCCAACCGATTCCAAAAGGTGTGTCCATGATTCCTCAAGTGTTAAACTTGAGATATTATCCTTAGGTCTGAAATTTTGTGATACCCGTAATCATAAAAACACAGATATACAGTTCAAAAATCTATAAAGTCAGACACGGGATCTAGTTGCAAATTCTGGACAACTAGAACATTCGAAATTAAATCTTGTCAACTGTTGTTATTAGTGTAAGAACAATAAGTTTAGTTACAAAAGGATTTTCCCGAAGAAGAGCAAGGAAGCTATTAATATGCTCCTATGGAATGAACGATATTGGTTACGAAGTCTAACAAAGGTTCAGTTATTCTTCTCGATAAAAGTGATTATATTAACAAAATGGGTACCATCTTAGATGACAAATCAAAATTTTAGAGACTGACTGACAGAAAAGTTGTCAATAATAAGATAGGGAAGGAACTAACAAGATCTTTGAAGAAGCTCAGGGACAAACAGATAATTTCATCAGGTTTATACAAAATGACTAAACCAATGAGAACTCATTTTCCAAGATTGTATGGATTACCGAAGGTGCACAAACCAGGTATCTCATTAAAACCAGCCTTAGATAACTATACTGAAACTACTCCATGAAAAACTTGTAAAGCATTGTTAGGGATGTATTCCAATTTGTTGACAAAATCAAAAACTCAAATACTACAGAACAGTCGATGACGTCTTTGGATACAACATCATTATTTACAAACATTCCAATCATGGAGACTGTAAAATATATATGTGAACAGCTTCGATAAAACCATATCGAAACTAAATTCCAATTAATGTCATAAAAGAGTTATTACTGAAATGTTCCATGGATATGAATTTGACGTTTAACGGAGAAATATATAGACAAATGGATGGAGTTGCAATGGTTTCACAATTGGGCTCTGAGCTAACTGAAATTTTTCTAACCAAACTAGAGAATGGTGAACTCAAAAAGGTTATTCAAAAATTCACATTTTGCTGTCGATATATGGATGGCACGTTCATCTTCTGTAAAGATAGCACATCACAACTAAGAGTTATTAGGCAATTTAATGAAGTACACCCAGTCACTAAGTTTACATATAAGGAAGAAAGTCAAGGTAAAATAGCCTTTTTGAACGTTCTGTTAACCAAGAGAGCTGATGGATTTAGACAGAAAAAATAACTGAACAGTACATGCATTTCCTTAGTTTGGTACCTCTACAGTGCAAAGAAAGCTAATATAATTGAGGAAGTGCTACACACCTTGCTTAATACACTTTGGGAGGACTGATACCCCGGGAAATGATCACGAATGTTAGAATAGGCGTAATACAAACAGTGAATAAGAAATCCCTTTCCATAGGCCTACAATTCAGTGGGGATGCAGCTGGCGAAACATTAGTCCACAGATCACACAAAACAACTCAAGTCATTCAGCGCCAGAGGACTACGACTAGAGTTTTCTACGCGCTCAATGGTGACACGTAGGCTAAAAGACAAATGATCTAGAATGACATTTTTGTATTTATTAGTTCGACTGTTTTTGTAGAGCGAGTTGTATTGGTCGAAGCTCCAAGACTTTACATTTTCGTGCTCGCTAACACGTCCCAGCGTGAATGAGTAAAGGTCTAATGAAAAAAGTGAGCGGTTCGTTATTGGCCCGTTTAGTGCACACTAGATATAGTCTCATTATAAGCCAATCTTTTTCAATTATTTATTGGGTCAGTACTTTTTTGCTAAAGCCTGTCAGACTCAGTCTTTCAAATGGTGGAAGCAGTAGCCATCCAAATTACGAAACTGGAGCTGTGTACAAAAGAAATATCCTCAAACGCAAGGACAATTAATCAACAGTAATCTTAGCTATTGATTTCTAGTCCAGACTCATTGAGAGTGACTGCTTGGAATTGTGTTGAATATAGTGTTATCTAGTGTTAATCTGGTTCTCTATTCTGGGTCGTGAATCTTGGATCTGATATAACGTGATTAGTCTTATTATCGTATTAACGTATTATCACAGTACACCTGAGTGAGAAAAATATTTTAAATCATCCGCTATATTGCTTTCAATGTTGAGAATTTTAGGTTTTAGATACTACTTTGTTTCGAACAAAAATTCGTAAAACCTGAGTTATATCTAGAGGAAATGGTATTCTCCTTTTATATCACATTGTAGAGATTGTTTATCAGATGATATAACAAAATAAACAGAACGTAATGAACGAGAAGTTATACTGTGAATGTGGTTGTAATTTTTTGATCTTCCAGAGCAGAAAATTTACGAGGACACTCCAAAAACGTTTGCAATCCAATGACAACTAATTGCGAGCTGACTTAAGGTTTTCCTATTGGCTCATCTATCAGTCGAACTCCTTACCTCTACAAATGATTGAAGTCCTGTTTGTACACGTATTCAAAAATAGTTAGATCGACTGAGAGACCTTCATTGTGTGAACTAATGCGGGCCACGCAGCCTTTTGTACTGAAAATGATTCTATCAGCTTGAAGAACGAAACAACAACAATAAATTTATTTTATATACTTATTACTTAATTCTGATGGAAAAACAGAATTTTATATTGTATGAAAAATAAACCCAAACGAAATAATTTATTACCATAACATCGAAATGATATATTGAATCGGTATACAACAACAATATCAATTATAACGCACATCAAAGTTTATACATGTTATCTGTAAATTTATCTGAATTTAAGTAGTAGATACAGTTTCCCCATTTTCATGAAGATTTAAATCCCTTTCAACCAGCATTGCAGTTGTTTGATGCATAAATGGACGTTGTTCATAGAAATTTTTTATTGTTAGTTCTTTAGCTTCTGGCCATTCGTTTAAAGCGCTGAGTACAAATTACATAGGAAGTGTGTGAAATTAAAGAAGAAAAGACCATATATACTAGTATAAAACTAAGACTAATGTCAAACCTGAGAGTAACAAAAAGGCAAAGGTTCAAGTTTTCACAGCTTACAAGATCACAGAACCACGAAATGAATAATGAAGGAAAAATGTCTAAAGAAATAAAAATGATATCAGTCGACACAAAGCATGAAGATTATTAAGGTGATTATATCAGCATCCCTGTATCGCAGTCTAAGATACTACTTACAATCTTCAATAACGTTCTTATTATCATGAGAACAAATTAGACAACGTTTGTACTTTTCTATACGACCCATACCAACAGTAAGTGTATTCTTTAACTGTAGATATAAAGAGATGAAATAAACTTTTTCAACAATTATGTCTTCATTTGTTCAAATACCCAGACATATAGTGACATTACGGCTTTAACAAAGAACAAAGGACCGAAAGTCGATTTCACTTGGATTCTGAAAAATTATATTAGATACATACTCCTAGAATCGATAGATTCTAAACTTACTTCCAACAATGAATTGCGGATATTAAATGAATTTTGAAAACACATGAACGTCAGAAACGCCTTAGTGATTGATTTAATTGCACTAAGAAATGAAGTTCAATAACCAGGTGGATATTTGTCCTATGTTCTCACATACATATGTCACGTAGAATATCGATATTACTTAATTGGTAAGAACAAGGTCCGTGAGCTTTAAGAACTAGGAATGTGCAATATTAAGCGCCTTAATTTCGAAAACCGACATTTTATTACTAGTCGTAAAATCTCCAAGTAACCAGAAATAAACAGATTCCGAAAGTTTACAGAACATGTTTACAAAACTAAAGAAACAAGGTGAACCTTGTATTTTTGAGGGCCTAATTCCCACAAAGATTAGGAACATGGTAAACCAGCTGTCTATCTTTCTTCAGTTTTAAATAACCGTTTAACCAGAACCGCATTTATATGTCTTAGGATATTCTCAAACACTTTAGGTGGAATACAAAATGTTTTTGAGAAATTTCTTAAGAAATAATATTAAGTGGACTATTAGCTATGAAAATTATACAAAATATACACAAATTACCGATATATGGTGCGAGTGTACTTCATACGACCCTGACTGTTTAAAAATTCAAAAATGTGACCCAATGCGGGTGAATAACGGGAACCAATGCAAATTAAACACCACCTAAGAATAAGAAAACAGTAAGACCCTCTTCAAAAAGATTAATTAATAAAAAACAGATGATTTAATAATGGGATGATGGAACATTCCAGAAAGGCAATAAAAAAATATTTTCTTTATCACAGAGTTATTTACACTAAATATATTTAAAGAATTATTTAGACCAACAGTGAGAGTCAATCAAGAAATGAAGGATATTATTGGAGGTGCGGAAAGATATTAAGTAATTTACGTTACGTCTCTTAAATTTTCTACATTACAAACTATTCTTAGAAATTAAGAAAAAGTTAGTCATCCTTCTATGAATTGTGAATAATCTAGTGGGAAAACGAGAACGATTTTACCAACTTTATTGGAAAATATTGTCTCCATTTAAAACATACCCCCACAATTACTTTACTTATTGTCCGTTCAGAATGTAGCTACTATGTATTTGCAACTATGAAAAAAGGGAACGGATAACTCAACAACTGATTGTTTGTTACAAACTGTTGACCCAAAACCTTTTTAATTTCGCCTCATTATCAACAACTTGTCTTTAAATTTTACTCACCAAACACAAAATAATCGATATCGTATCCATTGAAATATCAATTAGCTAATATTTAAGTGCTTCCAGGCTTTCAGTGGTGGTCTAGCTTAAATCAACTCATGAATTTAACTATTAGTATCTAAGTGCTTGAAATGTCCTCTGAAAAATATGTAAGATTAACAAATCCATCAATAAAACACTGTAAAAGCTTCCTGATATCAGGGTTGCAATGTTAATTAGAATAGAAGACAACAATCACAAAGTACTCATGTCCAGTTAACGAGTAGTATTCCTAAACTCACGAGTGTTACGATATGGCATTTTTATTCTGAGGAGCAAACTAAATACAAAACCATATGACTAGCCCTTGATATTTGACTAATGAACCAACACAGACCTCCAAGAAACCGAGAAAAACAGATGCTACTGACACTGTGCACTGTAAATTAAAAATCTTACGGTATTTATTTAACCTCCATCACACCTAGCAACTATGTTTCACTCCCAAGTGTCAAATGAGGAAGAAATTGACTCGAAATAAATATCTAAGTAGCATCACCAGCAAAACAGAGAATACGAATGATCCATTCAATAAAACACTTTTTATATGTAAACGAAAGAGAGGAAAACGTGTTTGTATTTATTTGTTCATATAATTTCACGAGTTGTTAGAATAAATATAAGCAGAGTCAAGTTTTGTTATGTTATCAATGACGATTAAGTTACGCTCTCTTCATAGTGCCCAATACTTAGTAGACTATGGATATCGTAGCACTCATGTCTCTACAAGTTTATAACTATTTCGTTGATGAAGAACAATTATGGTATATTTATTGCCAACCATGTAATAGGTGAAAAAATAACAGTATTAAAGTACTTATTCCATTAATTTGTTGTACGGTAGATTATCCTATGGCTAAACATACAGAACAAACGTTTGCGAAAACTATAAAATAAAGCAGGAATAAGCATTAATCGTTACATTTGGGAAAAATTGCTTACTGTACTCGTATCTCAGCATTTTTCTGTTTAGATAACTGTAATAATTCATCAATTTTGCATAAATTATTAACATTTATTGGTTCAGAGTCGACAACATGGCGCAAAGTTAATTCACGTTGTACATGTGACATTTTATTCCACAGTTGCGTCAAACTTTGCATTTCAGTAACATTTGAACAAAGATCAGATGAAGTAAGTAATTTTTGCATACTGTCACATTCTGAAAGTAACTCATCAGCATCAAACCTTATGAGACAGTAAATTACAAGAATTAAACGAAATATTTCAATCCGTTATAGTATATTCAGTAAGAACTTGATGGTTGAAAGATCAAAATTTAGAAATGATTGTGCAATAGTATCATATACATATTAAAGGCCACATTAGAACATGATGAGAATTGTGCGACTTTAGCAAAATGATATCAAATAAAATAATTCAAATATAAACATACCCGTCAAGAGATTAAATCGAAACAAACCATACACATTGGTAAACAATGGCACTGAAACTCACAATCAAGAATATTCATCAAACTATTAACAATTATGACAATCAGGATAATACATAGCGCTGGTGCGACATCGCATAGGTTACTAAGAAGCTAGTGCAAAGCACAGGGGAGAAGTAACCCCTACAATATGGCTGTAAGAAACGATAATGTGAAGGTATTTGGTTGGAGCAGTATGGAAAGCACATGAGTGGGTCTCTTCATTGTATCATCATTTCAATCTCTGACTGGGTTATGCAAGTTAGTTGATCAATAGACTTAAAAATTGGAATCTCATGAGATAGCTTAGATATTCTTCACATACTTTCAGTAATCAGTGACAAGGTACGATTGTTAAACCAAAACATGAAATCGACAAGTGTAATAACTGATTAACAGTTCAGTTATTAAAATTTCTATAAAAATTCATAGTAAGTACAGTAAATAAACTCATCCAGGCGGCTCTAGATTATCTTATCTTTATACTAAAGAATGTAGTTTTTCACATCTTTTTAAGTAGAGAGCATCAGGAAATTCTATACCGCTTTTGTTCTTCTTGCAGGAAGATCCAATATTTGGATGAACTCTACCAAACATGTTCAAATCCTCATGTTTACTGGTCTTTTGCAGAATGATAACTGTATTATTTATACGAAGTTAACATTTTTCGAGCTTATCCACTGTGCCAGCTGGTAGCTCAGTTTCCATTCTTACTAAACAGATATTGATTAATATAAAACTAAGAAAACATCCTTTTACAACTGCGTCTGCATACAAATTTGATTGTTAAGCATAAAATACGTATTTATTGTATAGACATTTTGTCTAACCGAATTAGTTTTCATTTTATAAATTAATTGCATATCTAATCGGTACTTTCTATGATCGGGATATTTATAAACAAAATATGGCTTCGAGACAAAACAGTTCCTTTTTTAATTTATATTTTTTTACTTATGAATTCAAATAAACTTTTCATATTAAACATAACTAGGAAACGATGTTATGTCTCTAACGGTTTAGCCAACTATTATGTTGTTGAATGATAACAGTGAGATAAAAATGAATACGTTTTAAAGGTATATCCAATTTATAAACCTTTAACTACCCATATTATGTATGCGTTTTAGAGTGTTTAAGTGTATTATAAGTTGATTTGAAATGTGCAGTAATTTTTCTCGTAATTTTTGTGTATCAGTCGGCTAGCTAACTTTTGGATTTCTGTTCAGATAAATTATTAAAAAAACTATTACTGATACAAAGAAACAGTAGTAAGGGATCAGAGATGGATTTATCACACTTGAACTGCTCTTGTGGGGGCAGTTACATAGGTCGCATCTAAGAAGTCTTATTTCTCCGCAGTTGCAAACCTGTACTGATATGAACGATAAAAGAAGTTATTAAGTCAACAAATGGCAGTATTCTTTTCATCTGGTAAGTAATGAAAATTACACCACAGCGAACGGAAACTCCTTCAGTTTAACACCAGGTTCCAAATAATTTACTAAAGTATACAACCAGATTATGGCCTCTCTATACGGCGGAATCACTTAGCAAAACCTGATCTATATCTAAAATGAAATATTCGTCCTGTTTCCTCACTGCCATCATGGGATTGTTTTATTGATGATCGAATTGGTTAGCTTGACTGCGTATTCTGAAATCTAAACTATTTGAAAAACTTTAGGCATTGTGAAAATGGACTATGTGAAGAATGTTGGATCACTAATAATCTTGAATCATACTTCACACAAAGTTATTACATGAATGGAGTTCAGGAGAAATTTTTCAGTAAACCTGGTAACAAACTTTGTAGAACCCTCTGCATATATCAGGTAGTGTCCTAAGTGTTTACGGTATACTAACAGTGATCGTTTATTGCAATCGGAACAGAATGATTATAGTAAGATAAAGGTTCAGAAGCGAGAACGAAAGATATAACTCTGAAAGAGAGTTCCACTTGATGTAGTAAATAGGTAATAAGTCATATTTATCGCATACGGGTTAATTATAATAGCCGTCTTCACAAAGGGCTTTAAGTGCAGTGGATGTAAACTCGGTGAATAATTGACAGGAACTTGAGTCTCTAAACTTATGAGCCATAAATGGACAACGAACAATAAAGACTATTGCTTTTGGTTGTATGTAAATATACAAATATATGACCGAGGAAGTTATGGTGGAAAATTATGTAAAATATAGTAAAAAAACGTTTACAGATGAGTTATAAACTGTCTTACTTTGGTATCCATGGGGGTAAACCTGGACTATGCATCCAAGCATCCAACTGATGTTTCGGGTTAAGTACATCGGAACCTAGTCGACTTGTTAAAAATTTCAACCAAGTATTTGAATCAAGTGATTTTCCAGAAAACTGTTTCACATAAGCTTTTAACCAATTCAGCATAGATTCTAAATAAGGTTTGCACAAAGAATGGTTTTTTAACATTTTGTACTATAAAAAAGTTGCTCATTACATAAAGTCTGCTTCAATGTGTGAAATGTCATTATCTAATCAATTAAAGTGAATTTGATTGAAAAGTTAACATCAATGTAAACGGGGATAAAGATCTCTGAATTAACTAAAGACATTTCAGAAAAAAAAAATTATTTTTTGGTATAATTTCCCAGAGATACAAAGTCATATTAATAACAACATCAAATGGATAACTAAATTATTAGTAAAAGGACATCACATTAACAGAATATCTGGGAGGAAAGCAATAGATTATTGCTTAAAGTAGAAAGATGTTGCACGATAATCTGGAAGGCAATAAATAAAAACGACAAAGAAAGGATTCAATTCTGGAAAGCGGAAAACTTACAATGAGTGAAATACGAGAGTAAAATTTGTAATTATGAACAAGGCGCTAATAGATAAAAACAAAAAATAAGGAGAAACGTTTACAGGAGTTACATTCCTAGGTTACTGTTCAATGAGAGGACATGCATTAGAACAACCAACAAGAGTGGATACCAATAAAAGGAAGTATCAGTAAACATGAATCGCACAAGAGCGTGCATAGAAAAGGCGATTTAATAACCCAAAAATGTAATCATAACATCGAATGGTAACAAAAATTTGGCTTACCTTTTCCGTATAAAGTCTCTAAGTAGTAGAGTAAAAGAGATCCTTTTTCATATGGAATTCGACTATAAGCTTCGTCTGGATCAATACCTTTCAAGTCTACAATCAGCTTTGTCATTGGATTCGATGCGCCAAGCTTTTTGATCTGTTAATTTTGAGGAACCAGATAAGTCATTTTAGTTTTTAGTGTTTCCTAATATGACTATTAAATGCACTGTAACTCGATAACTTACTGTACATCTATGTATCAATTATAGTCATCTAACTTCATAATATATTAGCTTAAACTCGTGGTTCAATAATTAAAAGTTGTAAAAGCCACTAGGCTACAGACCTATTAAAAGTTGTTAGTGTATATAGAAACCTTGTTTCCTACTTTCACACGTGCACTTGATAACTACAAAATCGAGAGAAGTGCACTAATGCATATATATTCAAAAATTCTCCTTAAACTTTATGACGAGTAGTTTAGAACAAGCAATCAGTATCTGCAGTGAGATTTTATCAAAACCTATCCACCAACTTCAATCTAGCCCTACGTCTATTTATTTATTTATTTATTTTAACACATAAGTATAGGTACAGGGAGGCACCAAATACATATGCGCCACACAAATCTCAATTGATTTGTGTGAGGGCTGTGATACTGCCCGGGTGCCCAAACCGAAGCAGGTGGTTTACTTAGGGGGCCACACCCCGAGCCTTTGACCTGAACGTCTGATCCACAAGGCAGTGGAGCATCGTAAGGAGATGCAGTCTCATGGTAGCCGGTGACCAACGATTGGTTCATACGCCATTGGTTCCCGCAGGATACTGGAGCCCATGTGCACCATTGGTTTGGGGTCCGGTTAAAGCGCCAGACATTCGCTTTTCGTCCTCTCATTTTTGTAAACAACACCCCCGCCACGAGAAGGCAGTGAGTAGGACTTCCCTGGCAGAGGCTGTATACGCGTGGCCATATGAGAGCATTTCGAGAGGGAGAGCGGACGTCTAAAAAGAAGCATATTCTCAAAGAAACATATTTGTCTCATAAATCCTGATTCTTTGATAAAGTTAAGTAAAGTGAGAACAATATTTGCAGAACAAAATGAATTCAATATATTTTGAGACTTCTAATCAGCTGCAGACGGCCTAAATTTATAACAAAAATACTATCATAAAAAGTGTTACTACATACTATAATCAATGAAATTTAGTTCGAAACAACTTAAGAAACAAGAGGAAACAACACATTTAACATAACAGTTAAGATTGATTAGCATATTTGTGCTGAAAATAAAATCATAAAAAAGGGAGAAATAGGGGTAAAGTTGTAAGTGATAATATAATGTAACAGATAAGCGTTAAAATAATATAATTACCTTGCGTAGTTGTTATGGTCATCAAAAAAAATAATAAATCTTGATTACCTATATAATTACAGATGTTCTTACTCAAAATCAACAACGCATTTCTATAGATAGTGAGACGCTACAGTCAAATTGGGAAACGTAGCAATTTAATAATATTGATGTATCTTAGCAAACAAGCATAAGTTTGTATATTCGGTTTTAAGAATGTTTAGTTACCAAAACGGAAGACGGTACAGTGGGGTTCAAACCCCTGGCCCAGTAGCTAAAATTTATGCCGTGTAACCATCGAACCACAGCACGTTTAGCTAGAATAAGCCACATACCAGAATCCGACTGTTTTGCAGTTTTATAGATCAATCCCAAACATCACAGGTAGAAATTAGACACCATAGACCGAAAAAGGATAACGGTACATATTCTGGTGGCATAAAGTTTGGTGTGAAATTAAAACTTTACGGTTACCTAAACTGAAAATTCTTGACCCGGCCAGAAAACAAACTGACTGTGCACTATTGAATAGTTCTATCTAACTCGATAAAGCTCTAGCAGAAGGAAATTTTCGCAGATGGAATTTCTGTAAATTGTGATCTAGCAAAGTTTGGCTTTTAGACGAAGCTTTTTACGGATGATGAAAATCCGTAAGAGAGGAGGAAGTGAGAAATAACTTTACAACCGTCCTTCAACTATTTATTTTGACGATGGAGAGGTAAATTCGCATTAGGTTATAATCGGCTTGAAAAACGCTACAGCGATGCCAAACGATTGAACATATCAGTGAAAATTGGCTATATATAAACCCAAAAGTGTAACAGCATTTTGAACACCACATTAGTTGCTTTTGGTTTTAAGCTTTTTAATAAATCTAGCTAACATGGCGATCTTAAGAAAAAAAGTTTGTAGTCAGTACAGCTCAATTAGGCCACAGAAACATTCACAACCGATTTACCACCACAAGGGAGAAAGCTAAGGTTACAAATCTCAGCATACAAACAGATGACAATGACTGCCAAGTGTTGCACAAGTATTAGCTGATAATAACGACTGGTTGCTCATTAACCTCCACTAAAATTTATGACCTAATGATGGCAGTAAAGATATTCGCCAAAAAATACTTCATTAAACAAAAACAAAATCCAAAATCAATAGCTTTGTTGATTGCATTGATGAAATTCGTGAGCTGTGAAGCATAAACCAAGACAACGGAAACAGAAACATTCAAACAATAATTTAAGTTGGTAAAAAATTTAGCGTTTTACGAATCGTTAAAGTAATACTACTTGTTACATAAAATGAAGTGGTAAATAAATGTTTAAAAATCCCCTCGTTTAATTCATGAGGTTTAGTTAAATTAATAGACCTTACTTCTTCCAACAGTTCCTTGTAGCCTAAACTTAAATGAAGGTGTCTCATATGCGACCCATGAATGTGTTCTTCAATTAAGCGTTCCAAATACACAGTATGTCCTTCGTTTAACCAAAAATCCTCCCAATTTGAATTTGTTACTAAATTACCAGTCCATGAATGAGCAATCTCATGAGCGATTACATTAGCTAATGATCGATCACCAGCCTGAAATATATAAGCCCCGAAGGGATGATGTATTAAACATAAAGAAAATACAAAGAATCGCTACTGAAATGTGTATAAGTGTAGCATATGAATTGGCACAAAACAAGAGAAATTAACCCAATTACTACGATCAAATCTGAAGATAACAGTACTACCATTTGGAGGCAAACCACTCTTTTTTAAAGGTAACGATTTCCACAGGTAAACAATAAATATATCCTTATGAATAGATCTTTTAAGTTACTATTCAATATTAATGACTATCTTCACTGATGAGTGGAGTAGAGATTTAAAATAGGCTGCTATTTTCATTTTCTAAAATAACATGTCATCATCCGACAACTTCCAAGCCGATAAATTGGAAGTGTTCGCCAAGTTCATCTTTTTATGGAAAAGTTATAATTAAAATTACTATAGACATAGCTATAGGTTCAATTTTATGATCTCAACATAAATCTGTATTTTTTGACAGGTGAGTCTCGTTTAAATCTTGAAAAAGTAAATTACACTACTGAAAATTATTTTCCCGAAATTGTACATTGCTAAACAAGTTTAACACGAACCATACCATGAGGTAACAACAATCAATAACTTTTTCAAATGTTTTTTATCAAACCATTATCGTTCAACTTTACCTTATCCACGCTGCCGTTCAAAGAATCTTTCACCTATCCTCAGTGAGTCTTTTTGTGTATTCAAAGGCTGCCGATAGTGATGTTTGACAAACAGCCTCAAAATAACTAAATCAAAACATAGCAGATATAGCAAGTATGACATATACATACCCTTGTATTCACATTTGCACGATCAGTGGATGGAAATAAGATCAGAAAATAATGATATTAATATAATTGTATTCACAAGGTATCTTTCATTAACTTTTTAAGTCTATTACGTCATTCAATTGGTTGGTAGTCTATTTACATCATTCAGATTATCTTGATGGTTGCCTTTATGAGTCAACTTTGGTAGATGTGACTACCTGATTAATGTGACGGGTTTAGTGTTTCTTAAATTGACTGTTATAATTAGGGAAAAACGGTTTTATTTCAGATTTTACGTGGTATCAGAAAGATATAATACAGCCGGTAGTTTGTGTACTTAAATTAAGAAAGTTTGTTTGAAACATGAATATTTATATGCTCATACTTTTTCACGCCTTTTTTGACTTCACAAGTGATTACCCAAATCGTTTTTAAAGGACATTTGACGATTGGATAGAAAATGTTATCCTTACTGTCCACTATTTAATAATGACCATGTATTATTATATATTCCTAGAATAAATAATAACTGGTCAAAACACGATTGGAGAATTAGTTTATCGAAATGACAAATTTCTCAAGTGTAATTTAAAAAAACAAGCTTGTAGTAGGAATCAACATAAAATTTTTATCCAATAGCAGAACACACCAATAAAGTTGGTGAAACAAATGTTAAACATGGATTTTCCATTCCACCATAGGGGAATGTCGGCGGTAGCACTAAGATATCATATATATCCCACACATAAGGTCCACAGATATTTTCAGCTGCCAAAATCATTTGTTCTGTTTCACCGAATTCATAAGCTGCTTTGTCAACTATACTGGGTTCAGCCCATACAGACGAACGTGGACCAATTTTTCTACAAAACACAATTTAGAAATATTACAAGAATTAACTCTCTTTAAGGGATAAGACCAAAAATAATGTACTGTAAATTGCTATAAGATAATCAAAACCAAGATTAGTGGTAATATACAGAAACTATTTGCACATATGCTATTTACAGACTGAACAGTATTTCGATAACTATTAAAACTCGTTTGAATGAAATGATAGCATAAAACTAATCTGTGTTCGGCCTAACTAGATTTACGCAGACGCTGTTCGTGATATAATATTGAAATAACATGTATAAAAGTGAACTAAACTGATTTTAGTTACTTTTACAATTAAACGATGATGAAGATACACCAGAAAATGTTAGAATTGCAACACCAGTACATTCATAGTAATTCTTAAATACGTCACTTCATATAACCAAGAATGGAATAATGCAATACACACAGGCTTCCATGTTATGTAGCAGCGAGCTTACCTGCTAGCTAGATCCCCACAAGCAATAGCGATCAGATAGCTGGGGATCGGAACACTCTGTTTGAAGTGGTAAGTAATGTGTTTATCGTCGGTCAAAATTGGCTCCGCAATTCGTTTGGCACCCATGATGACAACGGTTTCCTTTGGAGCAGTTACCTTTTATCAATGATAAGACATATTTCAGCAAAAACTCGTTAATTAAGTGTTTATTTGTGTGCAACTGAATCCTGATACAACAATACCATTATGAGAAAAATGATGTAACTGTACCTCGCAAAAGATGTAATTTATTTTTGAAGGTCAAAATCAACTTCAACAGACCTAAAGGAAGGTGAAAATTTCAAACTTAACGTTAAACAAATTCGTTTTACTTGTTTAAATAATAAAACTTAATAATCAAGTTCGAACCCATTTACCAGACTTTGAAATTTATTCTCTGTACTAACCACTAGGCCAAACTACAGTATATGAAACAGAAATTGGCCCGTGGTATCTGGACTTTTTAAATCAGAATAATTACCAGGTTGAAAACTTCTAGGAGAAAAGATCTTCATAGCTTAATATCGTCTTTTTAAAGCTTAGATTATTCAAAAATAAATCTTGATAAGATGTGCTGAAGAAATATATCCGACACGTCTAGCACTAATTTTTCGGTTCAAATCACAAAATTTAATTAGCATTAATGCAAAACAACACCATTTATTCATGAATACTTGTATTCAAGTAATGAACAGTAGTTACAACCTGAAAATTTTTAATATTTAAAGTACAGCTGTAACTATAAAATTCATTATATAAGTGAATGGGCAGTTTTGGGTGTAAATATTTTGGAAACAAATTCACAAATAAAAGTAGGAGTTAAAATGAGATAACTAGGAATACGACCAAAACATCTAGACGTTTTAAAATCCTACATATGAAAAATTAAATGATGTGTGAGTTATGATTGATAAATAAGCAAATTAGTATATATTGAGTAAATAAGTTATATGATCTTCCCTATTGTAAAAAATCATAAATAACCAAGGAAGCAATAAATGATATAATTGGTGATGTTTACACAAGATTTGTTACACTGTCGGAAGCGTTCTTCATCCGATGTGTACATTGTCACTTAAGAATGTATTTCACTAGTTATTCTATACTAAATATTAAACTGAACGATTTTCCTGCTTTTAAATAAGCTATTTTAAGTGAAGCTGTAGGAGAGGTTATCTGATAGTAAAATGAAGCACTAACTCTAAAATGATAAGTTTAACTCAACAACACTACCATGTAAAAGTACCACAACTCACAGTGAACGTTTTTAAGGCGTATAAAACTAAAGGAGATCCTAAAAACACTACGAAATTAACAACAAAACGCTAAGACTTTTGAATTCAGTAGTAGAATACGGAAATATCACTTGAAAATTACAAGTCATTTAAAGATAAAAGCGTAAGTTGTACACGAAAACGACGTGTAGATCAACTAATGTAGTAATGATCTATCGCGTAAACCGCGGTAAGTTGAGGTTCATAGCTTTATCGAAAACTGAAAATTATGACACCAAAACTTAGTTAAGGATGTGCCATCTACTTTACCTTAGCTTCGAAAGGAAACTTTGAAGTTGGAGTATCTTGACAAGGTAGAAGACTACGAGCATGAATAGCTTGACATTGACTGAACATGAACGGTTGACGGCGATCAGCAGTAAGCTGTGGTCCTAGCCACTGGAGAGCAGAAGAATCTGGAGAAGTTTCGTAGTCGATTTTGACATCGTACCTATGAGAAATGGAATAAATTGAGAGTTAGATCCAAGACTCACCCATACATGAGAAATAATAGTACTTCAAACAAGATTTAAGCTACTTACGAAAACAATACAACTCACAAATTACGTAACTTTTACACTAAGCTACCAGCTTTATGAATGGTACAGAAGGTAAATTTTCCTATCTTGTAAGTCACACTTATTTCCACAAGCAACAATAGTCCCGTTTTAATCTCTTATGTTTTTCGATTATAATGGAGTAGCCAGTATTTTGGTCACCGCGGTTGGTTTTGTACTTGTGGTGAGTTTGATAGGTATTTCAGTGAAATTGCGTGAGCAGCCATTTTTTAAAAGAAAGGTCGTTTAGTAATTTTTCTTTACTTTTTTGTACGATAGATGGGCTGGCAATATGGCTTCGCTTTTTCGGATACGGTTGGTTTGCATGCAACTAAGTCCAAGAGTTATGTGGTTATTACGATTGAAACTACGGACAAGTGGGTTCCCAAACACTTGAAGCACTAGGTTTCTCTTATTGAATTTAATTATCGGTGCATCTATGAACAGCAGTTTACTTAATTTCTTTTCTGACACGAATTCTATGCCAAAATATAAACCGACAAAACATTTATAACAGACAAGAAAATAAGTTACAAACTACCACTTCTAGATTCATTGCGAATTTATTTTTACCTATTTGAAGCTGTATTTGGTATTATTTCCAAACAAGATCCAAAAGCTTGGACAGTAATGGGTTTTAAATTCCATTTCACTGGTTCCGAATTTACGTGCACTGAATGAATTTTTAGGTTCCTTGTATCAAGAAGCTGAAATTTCAAAACACGAAAACTCAACTCAATGCTAACACAACACATTTTAAGGGATATAAATTCATCAAAAAAACCAGTGTGTTATTTTGTTGTTATTCGAGATAAAACCATGACATTGAAGAATGCATTTCACAAAACAATACAGGAACAATATAATGCTGACAAATAACAATACACGTAATGACAAGAAAGAAAACAATACACAAACGTGCAAGAAAGACGTAGTAAATTTTCATTTTCAATCATTTTATCACGAATATCGAATCCCCGGTCGTTACTACTTCAAGTCATTTAACAAAATCTTGAGTCATTATTTGCCGGAATCTACCTCATTAATGATAATAATAATAATAATAATAATAATAATAATAATAATAATAATAACTATGGTCTTATTCAATAGTATCTGTTTAGTACAATATAAAATTCTCATCACACAATATTTCAACAAGTTTCTTCACGAAAAAATAGGTAAGTCCATACATATACATGCGAGATGAAAAATTTAGAATTAAATGAAATATTTCTAATAAAATAAGAACCTACTCAACCGTGAGTTAGCAACATGTTCATGAATATAAGCTTTCCATCAGGTTAGCTCTTACAACCTGTTCTTATTTATTTATTTAAACACGTAAATGTTGGTACAAGAAGGCATCGAATACATACGTACCACACTTCGTCATTTGATTTGTGTGAGGGCTTAGATACCGCCCGAGTGCCCAGACTGAAGTAGGTAGTTTTCTTAGGGGGCCACTCCCCGAGCCTTTGACCTAGATGTTTAATCCAAAAGGCGGTGGAGTAACGTTAGGAGATGCAATCCCATGGTAGCCAGTGACCAACAATAGGTTTATACACCATTTATTCCCTCACGATCCTGGAGCCCATGTGCACCATTGGTTTGAAATTACGGTTTTCCAACTCCCTTAGGTAGACCCTCCATATCCACCAACCCGGTTAAAGCTCCAGACATGTTCGTTGCATAGTGTGTGTTAGGTACAGTCTTATAAAGCTTTTGTACTTAGTTTGCATGAGTGGATCCTAATGCATCTGCGTCTCGTTCTAACAGAAAATATACAAGGATAGAGATGTGAATGGAGTGTATGGTTAGCATCTTATTAAACAATACTTGGCAGTAGTTTCCAAGACTTCGAATTTCTATCCACAACCATATTCGCAATAACATCAAAGGATTCACTACATACTTCACTGCCTTCAGTACTCAATGCAACACAGCAAAATCTTTTCTCAAAAGCCCAGGAAAAAGTGGGGGACAGTGAATTATAATAGGCAACATACAACTTACATATCGTAAAAGTAAATATCGATTAATATCGAAAACATGTAGCCTCTTTATAAAATAAGCCAGACGGACAATTTTCTGCTGTATTAAGACTTGAAATCACAACAGATTAGAGGAAAAACTTCCACCAAGTTAAATGACCTGTGACATTGTTTTCAGACTATCGTTCAGTGAGCAACAAGAACCGATTGATACCAAAGGAATTTGAGGAAGAAGAAACTGGTATACATACAGTGAGACCGTTCGCATACTTAATAAGTGCTTGTTGTAAATGAAGAATATAGAAAAAAATGAGAAAAGGAGACAAAGAACAGTTCCTTGTGGCAGAACACACTTTACATCAGGCACAATATACTATTCTCTTTCAGAGAAGTAAGAACACAGTCAATTGGTTATTCAGTCGTTACTGTTAACGCTGGAAAATTCTCCTACTAATAGTGGTCACGAAACAGAGTTAGAGGCAGAAATATAGTCTAAAAATGAGCATCGAGCATACTCCCCACCTTCTTTCAAACTGAATGCTATATTATGGTGCGGCACAGCAGCATCTAAGGCACTTCTTTTGTATTTGTAAGCGAACTGATACGGATCAATATGCTTTTTCAATCCCAGCCAATTATAATTATCTTTCACTTTACATCACGAATTTACAATCTTTGATTTTATACTCGGTGTATATTATGGCTAGAAAACAAAATTTAAGGATAACTAAAAGGAGATCGCTTTGAACCATAAATAGATAGCTAATCTAACTTGCTTTTCTTGACGTAAGTCTGACAGTCAATCAAAGAATGGTGAGTCTGTTTGTCTTAAGTAAGCATTTTAGAATTTTTGACAAATATTATTCATAAACAATTTAAAAAACATACAATGTTTGGATTAAGGTTGTCTGGGCAAACTTTCTTCAAGAAGATATTGACTGAACCACTGATGGTTTGTGCGTTGAAATTTATTTTCCAATCAATTTCTAATTTATCCGTTGTATAAATGCTTGGATCAGAATAAGAAGAATGATCCCGAGTTTCTGCCATTCTAGAAACTAAAATGTAAAAATGTATGACTAGTGTATAAATGGGTAATTCTGCTTTAGGAAAACTAAGTACGTTCGAATAATCAGTCATATACTACTGGGGAATTGAAGAACTCAAGCACAGTTTTGGAATTCACATGAGTAGTAAACTTGTTAATAAGTACGTACACAAAAATAGGACAGCAATACACACAATCATGAACAACGTAAGTCAAAAAAAAATATGCGACTGTATAAGTTGTCACATCATCTCAGTCATTAACGCAAAGCCTGGAACAGATGTACGGGATAACACTAATCATATTGATAAAAGATGGGTCAAACTAATGGTAGCGTATGTGATAAGAAATGTGACTAAACACTGCGTTTTCTTAACCCATTCTCTTACGTCTAGATACCTATCACAAATGGAACAAATCCCTCTCCTTTTCTTACCTTGTTAACTTCTTACCACTCATATTGTGAAGTATGAGAACGTGGACCGAGAATCATTCGCACTGAGTCCTATGCTGGTGCTCAGTGAGAAAAGACAAATCAAAAGGGGATCAAAAGAATGACAACATTGAAACTTGAGATCTATGGGATAAACAACGAACGTATTGATCCATTCCTTCCCATTTCGGGGTGTGCAACGTGAGGTTTCCAACCACTGATCCCGATTATCGCGAGTACCCTGATCAGCGTTTGAACCTCTTTACAACCCTCGGACTGACAGTCGACGATTACGTGGACTAATAACACGTGTTCGGGTGCCTCAAGATTCCTTTGAACCTGATTCTTCAACAGTCAGCGTTCAATGGACAGTAGTCAGGTGGTTAAAGTACTCTATTTTTATCCATTAAAGTAGGGACCTAGCTCAAATAACTTTTTCTCAGCCGCTGAGTAGTGTCACTAGGCTGTGGTGTATCACTGTTGTGTAACTTAAGATTGACTACAGAAAATTGTAGTGAGTGAGTTATTGTTGTGGTATTTGTATGAACTAATGACTCGTTGTACTTGATGACTGTCCGAATTCAAATACCAAATATAATACGTTGATTTGTGCTCACCCGGTTATGTCTGGTTTAAATTGTGCTATTTCGGGGATTCCTAGTTAGTATAATAATTTAAATACTTCTGATCATCACATTGGTGTCGATATGGGATCTGTGCTGGAACAGTTGGACATATATCCAGATTTGGATACTTTTGAGAATTATATAGAAAGATTCGAAATCTTGACTGCAACCAAGGAAGATGTTGAGGACGTTAATATTGTGGCACATTTCCTTACATTCATCGGAAGAGAAACCTAAAGCTAAACAAAAGCTTTTGCATTTCCAGAAAGGCCTATTTCACCTCTATAAGCAACTCTCAAGGAGCTACTACTAAACCGTATAGTGTACAAATTCCGAATGTGGTAAAGGAGAAATATTTCATAAAGTGATTCGTTAGGATGTCAAGAATTCTACTAGATTATTGAGTCATCTCAATCCAATACGTATTTAGACAAAAATTCATTGAGGAGTTGCGAAGCAGGTCACAAAGATGAGCACAAGTTTGGAAAATGTTTGTTCTGTCGTAAATTTCACCCATGTAATTAATGTGTATTTCGTAATGCTAAATGCTTTAAGTGTGATAAGATTGGATACATTGAAGCAGTTTGTAATACTTCTGTTCATTTCGCTGCAACTAATGCTAAACTTGGTATTTCCGAACCTATTGAGTTGAGTGCTTCTAATGATCATTTATGTTCAGCCATGATTTCAAAAAACTGTATAAACACAAACCAGTCCAAAATCAAATAGAACTCAGAATTATTATGAAACAAAAGCTCCTAGTCAATCAACTCATCAGATTCCTCATGTTATTTTACCAGATATTTGTCCTAATGATTCACATATTTGTGATGAAATTTTTTATAAGTCTGAGGGAACTGTCGAGTAAATCAAATCATGATCGCAAATCTGGTGCAATTTTGATAGATGCTGGTTTTTTTTTAATGATTTATTATTCTTTAATGAAATTCTTAATAAACTTGAGGAAAATATTTCAAGTGTTAAATCCTGATGATGTCATATCAAATGTTATTTGACTTCACAACGCATCTTTTTCTTGTGAGCAACTTGTTTAATGTGAAGCACGAGTCCCAAATGAGCTCGATTTGGATTACAATTCGCATGACTTCATTTGAGACGTTGCTTATACTTATGAAGTCACTGCTAAAGAATCCTCTAATCAATGTGAGAAATATATTTTAGATAAAACCACATCATTCATAACTTGGGGGTGTGAAAACCCAACATTATTTCGTGGAGGAGGATAGTGTTAGATCTATGGTTCGAATCCCGGATATCAGTGATCTCAGAACACACAACCGACAAGTTGGTGAAATACAATTCCAGGATTCAGGTAACTCAGTTTCGATTTCTGTTGTTAATTCTAATACTAATGAGGACAATCTAGATCATACAGTCTGTGTCCAATACACAGTCTAACAAACATACAATGGAACTACTGAGACGTTCAATCGATTAAAGAAATTTCGATTCCATTTAAGCGGTGGCAGTTGGTGTTTGTATGAGCTAATTATTCTTTTGTACTTGATCCTCCTCCTGATTTCGAATTTCAAATGCAATACGTCCGTTCGTGCTCACCTGGTTCTTGGTTTAAATCGCACTATTTCTGGGATTCCTGGTTCGTATAACAATGATAAGTATCACAATTGCTACTGATGAAAACACGTACAATTCATCCTAGGTACTAACGTAGAAATTCATATATAACCAAGACACACAACATATCGTAGTTAAGGTGAGTTACAGCCTTAGTACTGCGCAAATAAAAACTTTGCTATTCAGGTGTTTAATTGCGTAACGAATCATTTACGAAACGGCGTTCTTAATAGAAGGTTTATTATGCCACTGACTCATATTTAATGACATGTGAATAACTACTTACTCTAAGAAATACGATTTGTAGGCATTAGTTGAAAACTAACCTCTAATGATAAAAAAATATGTAGCAAAGTCGTCGTTTACTCGTTGTTGCAAAAAAAAGCGCAACAGAATTTCACTTCATTTTAACTCTGAAGAGCACAACGACCTGTTCTATTTCCCGACATATTTTAATAAGTCGAGTTAAGCAACTATAGTGGATGTCGATCAACTTGAGTTGCAACACTCCATGTTTTTTTCCGAAAGGTTAACTAAGAACATATATCACAATCTCTTGTCCATTAAGTCCATCTATCAGTAACCTCTTATAGATACTAATCTATGTCAATCCGTTATACATACATACGAATTCCGCTCACCATAGTGCGCAAAATGCCCGCTTTGTTTGTTAGCCAGTCTTGTCATGAGCAATGAAATCAAATGTTTTAAGATAGTAGTCATTACCCTTCAGTATGCTCTAAACCCAACAAGATGAGTTATATTTCAGTTAAAACTCACGGAAGACGAACACTGTACACTTGACCTTACTTTCAAAATGGTTCGAACGATCGTGAACGGATAGGTTTAAATGGTTCTGGATGTAATAAAAGAAGCTTTCACTTAACGGGCTTCCTTATCTGGTAGTAATGAATCACTGATGCCTCCAGGTAAAAACCTATGTAAATTTAAAGATAAAAGAGAAATGAAAAAACTAGTAAATCATTGTGGAGTACTGTACTTAGTCCTTAAGAATATATCAAGTCGCCTCTTAAAGAACTCCTGGGAAGTGGCTTGGACTAGCTCAGTTGGCAGAGAATACCAATATTTGACTACTCTTAAGGAGTGGAAGGTGTGCCTTTAATCTGTTCTGCTATATTCTTTCTCCAGTTGCTGAGCGCTACTCCTAAGGTTTGCGTTGGGACTAAGCTGAAGTATGTGTTTAAGGGGACGTCCATAAATGTTCAGGATGCTACAAGTCATTAGAAGGTCATCACTAAGATGCCTGTATTCTGATGGGTAAAGGTTCAATGATTGAAAGCGCTGTTCATAAGACTTGAATTTGGATCCTAGAACTGATTTCGTGGCTCGTCGTCAAATGCATTCCAGTGTATCCACATCCTTTTGGAGTGAGGGAAAAAACTATGATTCCACACATTAAATGGGGTTGAACAAGACTGTTGGAGATCAGGTGGATCGTTCTTCCATCAGAATGGCCATAAATGCACTTCAACGTGGTTATTCCAAGATTTGCTCGGAAGATATTTTCGTCGCAGTTGGCGTAAGACTTCAAATCATGAGAAAGCAACACTCCCAGAACTTCTTCAACTTGAGAAACCCCAAAAGGGGAGTTATCTAAGTTGTATTCGTAGTCTTCAACATGTTTTGGATAGACTACTTCACACTTTGAAGTGTTACAGAAAGGTTTGTTGTTGTCTGCTCAACTTTGAAGTCGAGTCAGATTCTCCTGAAGTGCTAAATCATCTTCATGACTAAAACCTTCCCTCCAGAGTCTCACATTGCCAGCGAAAGTTATTAAATCAGACGATACCTGCTGGATAACGTCCTAGTACTGAACCCTGGTTGACCCATCAGCCTCTCTTGTGGCCTGACAATAATTGGAGTTAACTCTAAACTTAAAAGTCGGTTATTTGGATCTGAAGTAAGAAATCCAGTTAATGGTGGCTTGATACCTGAACGTTTGAGCTTAGTGATAAGACATATCCGATTGACCCTGTCAAATGCTTTTGGAAAGCAAGGGTATACGACGTCAACCTTCTTTTTACAATCACGGATGCATGTCCATATGTCGACCGTGGTCAGTAGCTTGACTATACAAGAATGAATTACTTACATGTGCTCTCCGTTCAGTGAAGCCTTTAGTGGCTTAGAAAAACAATTGTGCAATTCTTGATGAATGTGTAGCGTGGTATCGAGTTGAGCTTGACTATGAACACCTCTACCAGACTACGTGCCAATAGACCAATAAGATTCCGGTAGGCCAAAATTCAGAAGGCAGATGATAATAGTAGTTGTAATATATTTGTTGGCAATCTCGTGGTATCGAAAGAATACCGAGATCGTGCCAAAGGAGTACAGGTGCGATCGGCAAGAAAAGATACGTGCGTAGTCGAAAACCGAGTAGAAGCAATGGAATACAATGGAAGACCAAAATGGCTGTCATTAGCACAGTTAAACAAACGAGCACAATAAAACAATCACTGGTACAATTGGTTATAATAATAATTGTTTACATCAAACCAATCGCGTTCTGTTGACAAAAGTAGGTCACTACAGGAGCCTCCCGCTAGAAAGGGTTTACACTTTCGATAGTTAGCGGTTTGATTCGTGGGACTGATCGGCAGAAGTGCGGTTGTAGGACGAAGGAAATTGGCGGAACAGGAAGTGATCGTTGATCCTCGAGTTGCCAACGAAGGTCTTTTGCGCAGAATGGTACCAGGAGAAGTGTGCTGTATTTGTTGGTCGAATTAGCATACCACACCAGTGGTTTGTATCCAGAATCTGATGATTGCGTTCGTAGGGATGTAAACCAGAAAACGCTGAAGACGTAGGACGAAACCACGTTGAGCCAAGAAACCGGACGCGACCATAACGACCAAGCGTATGCCAGGCGAATTCGAGACCAGATAATCGACTGAGTGCGTTGACTAGAGCGTGGGTGGCCAAACCAGCTTTTGCCAAAGTTGACTGAAGTCGACGTTATCAAATGGACGATGGTCGGAGGCGTGGGCTCAGGATACAAAAAAAATCAAAAAAAGAAAAGTGTAGCATGCGTGTAGTATAGGAATAATCCTACACCGTATGTTATTAACTGTGCGTTTAGTCGCGAAAGCGTACGGGTAATCGTACTCGGCGACCGGAACGTGAGACGGTGGTCTCGTCCGTAGATGGTGCAGATGACGCGTGCTGTTGACCCGGACGTGAGAATGAGGTCTCTGATGTATCTAGCGTGGGATCCGAGGTAGACGTAGAGATCCCGCTAGAAGGTTTGATTGGTCTAGCGTTGAGTCTCAAGTTATCGGGTAGGGCACTGTCATCGACGTGTGCTGGTTTGAGACGATCAATGCTGACGATCTCGACGCGGCCGTGTCGATCAACCTTGAAGGTCTTTTCGTGACGAGCGATCACGTGAAAAGGGCCTTCGTAAGGCTGTTGTAGAGGATTGCGTACCGAATCTACTCGTATGAAAACATGTGAACAGGTAGAAAACTCTCCAGGGAGAGCGACCTGTCGATGTTGTATTCGAGTTGACAACAGAGACAGCGTTCGCATAAATGCAGACAGTCGATGGACGTAGTCTGATTTACCGAAATCATTACTGCTCCGTGGTGTGGAGAATTCCCCAGGCAGACGCAATGTCGTGCCGTATACAAGTTCAGCGGCGGAACATTGGATATCTGCCTTCAAACTCGTTCTGATGCCTAAGAGAACGAGCGGTAAGGGTTCGTACCAATTGTCGTTTTCGTGTGCTCGAAGAGCACTTTTAAGTTGGCGATGAAACCGTTCGACTAAACCATTTGATGCTGGATGGTAGGCGGTAGTGCGTATGCGTTACGTACCAAGCAGCTGGGCCAGTGAGGAGAATAATGCGGACTCAAATTGTTGTCCTCGGTCAGTCGTGACAGTCGAGGGACAACCGTACAATGCTATCCATCGTTCTACGAAGCTGTGAGCAACTGTCTCCGCCGTAATAGACGTGATGGGAATAGCTCCGGGCCATCTTGTAAAACGGTCAATGCACGTGAGTATGTGATCATACCCATGTGATGGTGGCAATGGTCCTACAATGTCTATATGAACGTGATCAAAGCGAGCATCAGGCGTAGCGAACGTGCCAATGGAGGCAGCTACGTGCCTGTGCATTTTTGATCGTTGACACTGTAAGCATTGCTTTACCCACATACGAACATCTTTATTCATGGACGGCCAGACGTATCGTGCAGCGATGAGACGTAATGTGGCTGTGATACCTGGATGAGACAATCCATGAAGGGCATCGAAGACGAGACGGCGATAGGTAGAGGGTACGATGGGTCGAGGAAGACCGGTAGAAATATCACATAGGATAGTACCTGAGCTAGTAGCTAGAGGTACTTCCTGACACTGAAGGGGCGAAGATTGTGGTGCTTCTGTACAGACAGGATCGTTTGCTTGTGCGGCGGACATAGCAGGAAGATCGAGCACCGGTAAGGTAACTGCATTCGTCTGGATACGTAATAGAGCATCGGCAACATAGTTCGACTCGCCTTTAATGTGACGAAGGTCTGTCGTGAACTGTGAGATATAGTCCAAATGTCTGCACTCTCGTGGTGAGTAGCGGTCAGATTTGGTATGCAGGGCATACGTTAAGGGCTTATGGTCGGTGAATAAGATGAATTGGCGTCCTTCTACTGCGTGCCGCAAATGTTTGATGGCGCAGTAGGCTGCAAGCAGCTCGCGACCAAAAGCGTAATATCTCGTCTCCGTGGGAGTAAGGCGTCGTGAGAAAAATTCAAGGGGTTGCCAACTACCGGAGATATTCTGTTGCATGACGGCTCCTATAGCGAAATCTGATGCATCAACCGCTATACTAACCGTGGCTGATGGGTCAGGATGAGCGAGGAGTGTAACTTGAGCGAGAGCCGTTTTGATCTCTGAGAATGCAGTATGTGCGGTATCGTTCAATTCTAATTTGCGTGGATTACCGCGTAGTAAATCGGTTAATGGTCGTAACCGTTCTGCCGCGTGAGGGATGAAACGTCGGTAGAAGTTAACCAAACCGAGAAAAGCCTTCATTTCCTTGATTGAGGACGGCACGTTGTACTCCTTGATTGCTCGAACTTTGTCCTCGCAAGGCAGAATACCCTCTTGTTTGATGATGTGACCCAGAAAGATAGTCGTGCCCTTGAGCGATGCCGTGATGTCGTGTATGTGGGGGATGTGGTAGCTATCAAAGCGCGTGACTACGTTTAATGCTCGGTAGTCGCCGCAAGGTCTCCAACTAACCCAATCCTCTTTGCGCACCATGTGTAAAGGAGAGGCCCAAGGACTGTGAGGAGAACGAATAATACCAGCAGATAGTAAATTGTCAAACTCACGTTTAGCGAAGGCTAATTTGTCCGGTGCCAGTCAACGTGGTCTTGCCGTGGCTGGTGGTCTGCGTGTGACTATGTGGTGTACCACACGACTGGTCACCGATGAAATCTCCTCGAGTGGTTTAGTTATTCTGGGGGATTTCTCGAATAAAGCGTGGAATTTATCGTCACGCGAATAAAAAGTGCAGAGGATTCGGTACGCGTACATCGGAGTCTATTATATAATACTATTCTTATCGCTATCCGTCATGTCAAATATATATATTAAAAATTAATATGAAAATATATGACAGACGTGGATCGATAAAACAATAGACTCACCGAATTGCCTTCTTTGAAAGATTTGACTCACCAAATGTAGCGTGGTGTCGAGTTGAGCTTGACTATGAACACCTCTACCAGACTACGTGCCAATAGACCAATAAGATTCCGGTAGGCCAAAATTCAGAAGGCAGATGATAATAGTAGTTGTAATATATTTGTTGGCA